GCAGAAAGGCAGGGGCATGCCTGAGCAGAGATCCTTTTCTCCAAGCAAGTCCAAAACGATCTCCCTGAGAGCAAGCCAGCACCTTGCCACGCGAGCGTGCGCGCACACATGCCAAGCTATGGCGGGCCAGATCCAGCCTGCTGACCATAGTTTGAGGACCCATACTCTAAACCATTTAGCAGTTTCCCAACTTTGTGAAGTCTGAAAGGTTGAAATGGCTCTCCTAAATGCACTGGCAGTAAGAAGTTTAAAATAAAGCATGGCAAAATTTTAGATATTTTTGGCCTTGCCCCTTTGCTCCAACCAATGCTGTCTTTGACACAGCTAGAATGTTCTTCTCCCCTGGAGACCTTCTCTGAAATGGAATTCAGTCCTTAGCCAGAAAGAAGCTCAGCACACCTTATACACACAGCATGCAAGTTATATAACGAATAACCCTACTTGAACTAAGGAAGGTTTTTGCCTGGTTTCCACATAATGCTAAACCATTGTATGGGTTGTATGGGAGAGAGCAGGCAAAGGAGAACAACCTAGGGACTGATAAAATAAACCACATTTTACAGATTCCAAGACAAACTCTGTATTATTTTGTGTTACATTCTTGGCCTAATAAATTATAAGTTAAATACACACATCAGTGAATGACATAAAAAAAGCAAAACTGGTACTCAGACAGTACACTTCCCTTCCTGTGGAGCTAGTTTCCTTACCTAGGAAATTCCTCTTGCCTTCAATTCTATAGAAAAGCAAAGATCTGCATGTCTTAATTTAAGTCAAGGCCCACCAGTCATTAACCCCTCAAAATCTTTTAAATATAAAAGTTAAAGCATATTTCTGAGAGAAGTTAGAATTCTAATACATTTTATTCATTATAGGTATGCAGCTTTTCCCAACCTAGTGCCATTGACATATTTTGGACTACAACTCCCAGCATTCTTGGCCACTCACCATGCTAGTGAAGAAGGGCGCCAAGCTAAAGTCCATAACATAGGAGGGCACCAAGATGGGGAAGACTGAACTAAAAGGTCATTATTTCTTCTAGAATAACAAAGAGAATAAGGGTTATCTTTTGTGTTTGCAACAATAAAGAAGATAGGGGCTGCTTATTATCCAAAACAAGGAACCCTGAAGAAAGGATGAGGAACCTGCATAACCCAGATCCCCCATTTAGTTCAAAGAACAGATACCCCAAGCCTGAAATTCCACACACATGAGCCTTTAATGCTCAACTCTAAACCTTGGTGTCCCCCAGCACTCTTTTCTAGAAAACAAACCATATCATCGCAACTAAAAAAAAAGTAAACAGGCAGCAAAACTTGCAAGGAACAAGGCAGGCAAGTAAAAATGTTCAGAACAACTGCAAGCTGTCCAAACATATTTTAAAAGGAAAATTATAGAGTTACTGTGACATGAAGAAATCTAAACCATGAAATGCAATATGAGCAAAGGAGCTGGGAAGTGCATGCTCTTTTATTTCTAAAGCTGACATTTCCAGTAGTACTGAGAGCACAAATACTGATAATACCAGAATGACAGTTTACATTGCTGAGCTCTAATGTCCCTGCCTTATTTCAAGTTTAGTATATCAACACAAGCCATAATGCTAACTTCAAATGAGGATGAAAGAGATTCCATTCAATACATTCTTGTCATATCAGACCATGTCTTATTTCTCATTTCTGCATCTGAGCAAATGTAGCCACTTGCAATCCAACTTTTCATGAACTCTCAAGTAATACACTTGGAATATAAATGACAATCTCACATCTCTAGTTACACATGCAAGAAAGTCTGGAGCTTGATGTGAACTGCAAGAAGATCTGCAGCCTGCAACTTGAGTTGGCTCAGATCAGAACATAGTCAGGGACACCTTCCATCATTTCAGAGGACGTGGGGAGGGGAATTCTTGCTTGAACACACTATAGGTAAATCTTTGCTTATTCAAATTTTTAAACAGTTTTCTTGTACTGTGAGGTGCTTGGAAGAAAGTTTAAGTCTTTACAATCTATTTTTTAGCAAAAAGATAAACAACTTTCATTACTTTTAAATATTCCATTTCCAACAGGTAAAGATTTTGAAAGAAACACACTGCATTTTAAGTTCAAAGCTCTTAGATCAAAACTTCAATTTAGCAAAATAAAAAGTCTTTAGTAATGCATCCTAAAATCCTCAAGTTTGGAAGAATTTCCAAGAAGAAAGTGACTGGGTTTGCATGAAGCTTCAGCACCTGCTGGACCCATTCTGAATATTCAAGCTGCAACTTTACCTTACTGTATTATCTGAACCTGGAAACTGTGGGTTCTACAAGAGTAAAGCAACCCTTGCAGAACCCACTGTTTCTTTCAAGGTCATCCAACAGTTGTTTAACCCACTTGTAACTCACAGTCCTTGTATTTGGTGAAACAACAAGCCGCAGTGGTGCCTTGAATATTCAATACAGTTCGCACAGGCACTGCAGTTTGTTTGGGAATAAACAAACCACAATGAGGTATAACCTTCATGTGACCACAGGCAATTACTTTCTGTGGAGACTTGAAGGGCTGCTAAACCCTTATGCTTATTTATCTGTTTCATTTTTTGCTGTCCAATAGCCAAGGCTCTCTGGGTGCTTAACAAATCTTTTTTAAAAATTATAAAAATTTACCACATACACAAACACAGTATAATCCACAATTCCTTGGGTTTGAATGACACAATAAACTGGAGTCACAGCTTAAATATTCAAAATGGTGGGTGACACACACCACAAATCACTGTGTTAAGTTACAAATCACTGTGGTAAGTTACAGCTAACAGTTTGATGTTGGAAACAAGCATATTGTCTAACAATGGAACAAGCACTAAGAATGCAGTTCTTCATTTCTTTCTACTAGGGACTTGGTAAATGGATAATAAAGACAATAGCTTGGTTTTCAGTAAAAGTCTCCTGTGAACAGCAATCTGTCAGAAGAAAGATTCTGATGCTGCTTGCTGAAGAGTGCAGGGAGTAATCTTCATTAATTCAATCTCCCTGTGTCCTTTGAAAATCTGCTTTGGAGATTGGAAGAACAGGGGGAGTGGCCCTGGGTGTATGAAGGATGGATTCATGAAGATCATTCCTCCCATCCTACCAACAGACTTATTCTGAGAAGAACTGTGCTCAGAAATCCTCCTGGCAGTGTAATTAAACCACTGATCTAGCCAAATAATCAAAGGGTTAGAAGGGGCTGCTTAGGGATGCACAATTCAAATCAATGCTAGAATTTTTTAATTTGGTCTTTTCCTATCATTTTTTATTAAAATGTTCTAATTTTTTAAAAATGTTCTAATAGTCTTGATTTTTATAGATTATTGTATCATTGTTGTTTACGTGGTTTCTTTATACTGTCTTGGTGACTTTTGTAGAGAAACAGCATAAAATACTACAAATAGAATTGCTTTTTGTAATGTGTTCCCTATCTTTCTGCCCTTCATAACATACTTTCTTCCACCTGCATCACAGTCTCTTAGCTAGCCCTCATTTAGCATCCCACAACTCTTGTACCCTATTTGAACATAACAGTCTTCCTGGGTCAGGCCATCTAGTCCAGTGTTCAATTTCTAGCAGTGGCCTACCTGATGCCTGCAGGAAGTATGAGCACAGTACAAGGGCAAAAGTCCTCCCTTTGTCTCCCAGCAGCTGGTATTCAGAAACTACTATTTCTGTGCATGTCAATTTAGTTATCATGGGTGATGACTCTATGGATTTATCAAATCCTTAAAAAATAAAATAAAATCCCATCTAAACTAGTGGTTTCTTAATGGTAGTGTGCTATAAGTTATGAGTTGCCTGGACTTGTATTTTAATCTGCCTTGAATGTTCTATCAATCAGTGTCACCTCTGTGTACTCTCTCTATTCCATTCATACTTCTGTAAATCTTTCATAAATTCCCCACCCCCAGTTAGTCATTGTTACTAAATTTAAAATCAAGTATCTCAGCATTTAATAAAAATGGCGCCAACTCAGAATCATCTTGATTCCCATTTTTACTACGTAGCTATAGAGATGGCTGACTTCAGATGAGGAGATCACAACTGCATGGTATTCCAAGAGTGTCTGTACCATAAACCCAGCCATTTTCATCCTAGAAAGTATATTTCTGATACTCTCCATCATGGGATCTAATATTTTTGGTGCTGTTGCATACTGAATTTATATTTTCATTGAGTTATCCACACCACACCATCCTTTCCCAGGTACTGAATCACTTCAGATCATTCAGTGTACAGTAGTGCCTCATAGTTGGAACAACTCTAAGTTTAAACAATCAAGAGTTCAAATGTTAGTTGAGATAAAATGGCTCCACAGTTCAAACGGTGCTTCTAAGTTCAAATGATGCTGCTAAGTTCAAACTGCAAGCAAAGTGAAAAAAATGTGGTAGCAGAGAAAATGTCATCGGTTGTGCGCCCAAATTAAAAAAAAAAAAAGCATTGATGTTCTGAATTGATTCATCTTGAATCATTTCGTCTTGACTTGAATCAATTTGTCTTGTCTTGTCTTGACTTGAAATGATTTCTGTTCAATCGATTTGCCTCATGTTGACTCATCTGGAATCAATTCAGGACATTCAGGCAGCCACAAAAGCTCTGGGATAAGTGTGTTCAAAGCAAGGAGGAGTATTCTGAGAGGGATTAATGGCAATGTGTTCCAAGAAATTAAACATTCACCATATTTTTTGATCACATCTTGTATATAACCTCAAACTTAATTCGTTTCAGGAGGCCGTATTTGCTGTTTAAGTTTGGGTATTGTGTATTTATTTATTCATTTAAAGTATTTATATGCTGTCCTGTCGCGAAAGCCTCAGGATGGCTCACATAGAGTGTAGGGTCTGGGAATGGATTAATTCACTTTCCATTGTTTCTAATGGGGAAAATTGCTTCAAACTTTGAATGATTCAGAATTCAATTGGCCTCCTGAACAAAATTTAGTTTGAAGTACAAGGCACCACCCTATGTCAAATTAAGATTCTTCCCTACAGAGTGCATCATGTTATAGTTACTTACTGAATCTCATTGGCTTATTCATCCAGTCCAGAACTTTCTGCAGTCTGCTTTGGATTTCTACCTAATGGGCCATCTTCTGTTATGTGAGAAGCTGAGGTAATATGAGAAGCCTAGGGCCATGTGGAAGAACCAGCACTTGTTTCCTCACTGGCTCTTCACATTTCCCCAACAGCAAAGGAAGGAGCCATGCAGCAGTACGTCTCAAGGTGCCTAATTTAATAACTTTCATAAATCTGGCTATTTTACTGCTTACCTCCACAAAACATATTTGTGAGTTCTCCCTAGTTTTCTCCCTCTATTCACTCCACAACACTCATTCTTTGTACCAAAGAACTCTCTGCTCTTCAACTCATTATTTTCCCCTTCCTTCTTACTTCTGATTTCTGCATCTGCCCATGGCACCTACTCAGTCAGTTTTCCATTCTCCCATCAATTCAGATAATGAAAGCTGCAGATAAAAGAGGCAATATAATATGGCTGGGTAGGAAGAGAAAGAGCAACACAAGACACAAAACAGACACTCTTCCAATCCCACTTTTTTTTTGAATAAATTTTATTGTTTTCCCTATTTTACTGTTTCCAGTCCCACTCTTGATGAGCTTCTATCAACTGCAAATGCTCCACTGAAGAGGTGGGAATGAGCTACTATGTGTATTTCAAAATACCCTGGGGGGATGCAAATAGCCAAGAGGAAGCGTGCAATTAACCTATAGTTATGGTGTACATTCCTGGTCTACAAGACCAATTCTTATTGAAGAATCTCCATTATATGCAACTTCATGCAGATAAATGTAAAGGATTATGGAACAGGATTTCTCAAACAGCAATAAAACATTTTTAAACGGTAGCAAGATTAATTAGTGAGGACAATGATTTACCAAGGAAAAATAAAACACTGCTATGGCTCATTTCCCTTCCATGTTTGTCCAGGCAAGCAAGAGAAAAAAAAAACCAAGGCATTACAGGTGTGGTAGAAAAAAATCATATAGCCCTTCTCAAAAGTGACTAATTCGTAAGTGATTGTAGCAGCAATTTCTATCTATCTACCTGTTATTCTGAAACGGAGGTTTTGGTGAAAAGGAAGACTTAACAGGAAATGAACGGATGCCATCAAGTAACACCTTTAAGACAACATGAGGACAGAGGAGGAGGAGAACAACATGGGTGAGCTGCAAACCTCAACAGTGCAACATAAGCAGGGACACCCTTGCACTGTTCATAAATTCTGAACTTGAGTACAACAAAATAGTGGGAGCTTCAAGGGCTGGCTGAAGATACTCAGCAAACCCGAGCCGTACAGTGAGGTTGGCAATTATATCCCTTCTCCCATACTGTCAGAGTTCCTCTTTCCTCTTGTTGAAGTAGGAGAAGGAAACCTTTCCTCTCCTTTTGTTTGTTTTTGTTCTTACTGGACACAGAGAAATTTGTCCATCTGGAGCCAACTCTTTTCCTTTCTTTTGCTTGTTTGCTACACAATTATTCTTCCATAATTCTACCAAATTCCACCAATTATCCTATGCTTCATCTACAATTTCCATGGATGATTTCCAGAACTTAACTCTCCTGACTAGCATGAGGCCACCACATTTCTTATTAAAAGGAATTATTAACACACTGCCTCTGAATTGCTGTCAGATAATTCTGTAAAAAAATAACTTGAAGAAAGCACTAACCAGAATTTGCCAGGATGTGTGCACATTGTCAAGTAAAATCAGAAAGTGGCAGAAGAAATTCACAGACAATATGGGCACTGATGAATTGAGGTAGTGTTGCTGAATTGCACTAAGGCCAGAAAACAAAGCATGTATATGTGGCTTTAAATGCCACCATACACCACTAAGCCTTATCCATTCCTGAAAATAAAGAAATGTTAGTCATATTTTTTAACACAATTGATAATTTGACTTGAGACCATTATATGTATCTTGAAACAGACATCTGCAGTAAAAGGCGAAAATCCTTCTTTCACCTGACTTAGTTACATCAGTCCATGAAAACAATGCACACAAAGCAATTACAGCCACCATCTGGATTCTATGAAGTATATTCTTTGTGGTACATCTACAGCATTGCAAAAATGTCAGAGCACAAGAGCTCTTTGAAATAAAATTTGCCACTTACTTGTGCCTCTGAAGCAACAGTCTCTCTCTAGATTGTGACACTCTAGACAATTTGGTGTACTATTCCCATCATTCCTGCCACTGACTATGCTGCCTTGCTGGCTAATGCTTATGGGAGCTACACTCCAGAACATCTGGATAGCCAGGTTGCCCACCCCAACTCTGTAACCCAGCAATTATGAAATGTATAAGTGCCCGGCCATTTTAAAGCATCCCATGCTTTTAATGGCTATGTTTGTTTGACTTCACAACATGCCTGTCAAAGAGGATAATATACCTTTTATATGATACAAAATTGAGACTAAGAAAGCATGTCCAAATCCAACCAGTGGATCTGTGGCCCGGCTATGATATGAAGCCAGACATTACAAGTTCACTAAATCTTTAATCATGGTAATTATTATTGCTCGGTTGTTTTCCACTCTCCATTATCAGGACAATAGTAAGTGATGGAAAAGTTGCTACACTTTATTTTAAAAATGAGTTTTGGAATCAGTTGATATGATTTTTTTTTTGTTCTATCCTCTAAAGAAATCAGATTGCCTGTGTCTCACTGAAAATATGTTTGACATAACTAAGCCACCTACATTTGCTTCTTTTTTACAAGTTTGTGTCATAATCCTAATGCTTTTTGCAATTCCCAGCAAAGAATACATAAATAACAACAGTTTTTGCTTGAATGGATGCATAATATCCTTATACTACCATATTTAGAGTGTTCCACTTCTTCATCCTATCCTTCATCCTATCATATGCAGGCTATCCAGCAAAACATAATGACATGAGGAAAAGAAAGACTTCCCTCATATGTTTAATAGAATAAAGAAAGAAGTGCCTAACATGGGTTCTAAAAGACTATTTCTAACATCAGAACTAGCTATTATCCAATTCCCATTCAGTTTATCTTTCATGGGCTATTTAAGAAAACAGAAAAAATAAAATGCACTATCATGCAGTAGCTGCTAATATAGCAAGCAGCTACTTGGATGGATGCTTGATGTGAACCTTTGTAAAAGGACAGCTGAGTATTCACTGCAGACAAGTTTTTGTTTTAGCTGTTATCACACAGCAAGATGGAAGCCTCAAGCAACTTCTGAGTGCCATGCACACCAAAGTGCATCCAACCCCTGTAGGGTTGGATCCAACTTCCTTGTCTTCCCCTTTCCCCCTTCAATGCATACCCCAAATCTTCTCCTAAGGTCCGCTGACCTCCAGAGAAGATTCTGGGTGTGTACACTGAAGCTACAAGAGGAAAGGGGAATCCGTTCTGCTAGTGTTTTCCATTCTGCCAGCAGACTGTTACAGTTGGATCCAACTCATATGACATCTGTCCAGTATCAAAGAGGCCAAAATGCCAACACATCTCATTCTTCTGTTTAAAGCTCAACATATTATCGCTGTCATTTAAGTTTAAAAATAAAGAGACTGTCATCCACCAGTGATTCAGCTTCTTTGCATGCCTGCAGATAGTCTGAACAGGAACAGAGATAGCTTTTCCTCTCCAGTTAAAATAATACACACAGTCTCTTGGGTCTTCATAATTTGAACTTCCAATTCAGATGAAACTATGAGACAAAATTATGTTTATCAGTATATATTATTTTGTCAACTTTAATTCATATTCAGAATTTCAAGGTAGAAAAAGAAAAATAGGCATTAACAACAAAAAGTTAAAAGGTGGAATCTCTTTGACCAGGGTTCTAGGCAGGTTATTTGACCCATTTATTTTTCTAAGATATGTGTATTTCTATAAACCCTGGAGTTCACCTACACCTGTTCATTCTCTGTCTCTGGAGTAGCTTCTCCTGTACTGGCAACATATGAATTGGTACTCAGAGAATGAGTTCACTATTAGCATTTGATTATTCTTAAACAATAAAACACAAGAATAAAAGAGCAGATAAAGGAAACTTTAAACAAACTCCAGAAAAAGGGTCTGGGAAAACTAGAAACTCATTCGTGCCACAAAGACGAAGTAGGCGCTTCTCTGGGGATAACACCCCACACGCAGGGTGCCAACTAAGAAGGCTGGTCCTAGTCACCAGTCATCTCACCTCGCCTCAAGTAACAATGACACCTAGGGAATGGTCTCCAAAGATTATCTCTTTGGATAATCAGTGGAGAATCAAATTAATATGGGAGTAGGCAATCCTTCAGACATTCACGTCTTAAGCCACTTACAGTTAAAACTTACAGATATACGTGTAAAAGAAAAGCTTCAATGTGCACATGCATGTACATGTGTATACATAAAACATATGTGCATATATTAAATCACACCACATATATTCTACCTGTCTTCCAAGGAGATCAAAGCAATGTATGTGGTTTTCCTCTTGCCCTTATGCTCCCAATAACCCTGTAAACTAGGTCATGCTAAGAGTTAGCAATGGGTTCAACATCACCAAGTTGAGTACATGGCTAAGTGGGAATGTAGACTTGAGTCACCCCCAGTCATTCTAACCACTACATAACATCTCTTTGCAGTGCTAGGAGCCAGGTTTCTCAAATAATTCTAAACAAGTTGGTGTGGCAAGCCAAACATGTTTTTCCACTGCCAAGGTTGTTCTTCTATATGTTTAAATCAAGCCTGAATGCTTTTCACCAGTTTACCTGGAAAATACAGGATTTTTACAAGTCTGTAATACATTGGCTCTCCCTCAGATTCTTTTCTAGAAGATTCGTTCGGTGTAGAATTTTTCTTGATGAACAACACACACCAGTACATTCTGAAATCAGGAAAGGAAAATTAGACACACTGTCTTCCCTGTTTAATCACAAACAGAAGGATGGTCAGTGAGTGACACTCCACTCTGTTGCTCAATGTGGACCAATTCCAGGCCATCTGTGTGAAGCTGCAGGCAGGACATTCTATCCTTCTTGCAGCATGGGTACAGCGGTGCCAGCCGCCTCACTTTAAAGGGTGGAGAGAGAAGCTAGGGAGATGCTGTTGTTTTCCTTATTTGTAGGTTTTACTCTGGCAAGAAGCAGAGGCCTTGTGCTTGCCAAGCTCATTACTACTGTAAAATGTTCCCAATTATGATGGGATGGAATGAGATGGAAAGTAGATTTGGGACAATGAAGGGAAGGGTGGGTAGAAATAAAGTTTCCAAACACTGCTATAGAGATTAGCCACAATTTCTAGCAATATGCAACAAACAATATATGTTTCTGAAGAAACACACACTTTCAACAGCTTATCTGGAAGTTACAGCTAATTTCCTCCATAGCTGTAGTTTCTTTATTGAAGATACATTCCGCATTTCCTCTGGATACTTACTAAAATGCTTCAGCTATGAAGCCACCCTTGCACTAACTTAATCTGAGTTTTAAAATTTCCTGAACAAATTTAGATGTAATGTACAATACTGCTTATGAATTGACAAGCCATGGTGGGGTGTCCTATTGTGCAAATCTGGACCATTTCCAACAGGTGGCTTGTTCATGGGTAACAAGCCAGCCTGATCCCTCATGGAATGTTGTCAGGGTTATTGCATCCATAATAGTTTGCTATGCCATCTGAATCTGGGTGACTGACAGGAGCAGCAAAAGCACCTTGTCGTTCTTTCCAAGTTTGCCTGGGCCACCACCAGCGACAGCAATCCAAGAAGTGCTAAAGCAACACTTGGGCATGACTGTAACTAACTTGGTGCCACCCTGCCATAAGTGCAAGCACATTTTGTTGACTGCAGATTTTTTTTTTCTTTTACTCTTTAGTCACTCCAAAGTACCCAAGTTATATACTGGACAGGTAGTCATTTGTTGGCTACTTTTTATAATTACTTCTTTGAGGATCAAATATGCACATTTTCCAGTAAATACAAAGAGAATTATTTTAGTTTAGTTCCATGGGTCCAAAGTGGGAAACCTTGTCTGGGCAATGTCTCTGCTGGTGGTGGTGGGGTACTTGTTAAAGTGCAGCAAGTACCAACTGACTTTTACTCAGAAAGACTCCAAATAGTTTTTCCCCCAATTTGTTTTCCCCTGACAGCTGTCAAAAGGTGAGCACTCTGGTCAAAGCAAAACTTCTTGTTCACAAAAGGGAGTGGCCAGTAGACCACCCCCTTTGAGGCAAGAACCTTACAGTTCTGAATGTACACCCCCCAACCCAGTTCCCATTACTTTTCCACCCAGTTTCAGGACCTGGGCATATGGGAAAATGCCCCCCCCCCCCACACACACACACACTTTTGCTAATACTTGTCTTTCACAACTGTCAAAGATGGAGGTTTCTTTGAAAACAGAAATTTAAGCAGGACTTGACCGGGAAGTTTGGACAGGGATTTGAAAATGGGTAAAAGTTGGGGCTTCCTCTCCCCTTGAGGGAGAAGATATTTATACTAGGCACTACATTTCAAGACTTTTGGAATCTCTAAGGTTGTATATCCAACGTGATTTGAGAACTCAGGAAAATATCCTTCCTCTCTATTTCAGTCTGGCTTCTGGCCTGGTTAAAAGTCACCTCTGTAGGCCATTCATACCAGGAAGTGGGCAGAGGAGGTATGTCCCTGTTACTTTTGCTAGACCTCATGTTAGCTTTTAATAACTTGAAGAACTGCCCTAGGCCCCACCACAAAATGGCTCCTGTGGTTGGCATGGCTAGTAATTCAAAATGAGCAATGTGCCTAAAATGGCTGAGTACAAGTAATCCTAACTGCTGGTAAGAAAATGGTAAGAAGCCATAGGACACCTTGGCAGACACCAAAAAAATACCTGAAGTGCACTGGCACCCAAAGGCACAAGATTGCCTACTCTTCTCCTAAGCTACTTCTTCAGGATAGGCTGGGAAGCACTTTTTTATGGTGGTTCCCATTCTTCCTGGAGAAGATAATTCAAAAGATATTCCTGTTTGAAAGTCCATTGGCTTGTGATATCCCTCAGGGTTCCATCTTGTTCTCTCATAACATCTATGTGAACATGGGAGATGCAGTTTTGGGATTTGGTGTCACCAGTATACTGATGACATCCAAGCAAAGTATTCTAATCATCATGCAATGTCAGTAGTGGACTGAGTAAAGGCAAAAAAGTTGAAGCTTAATCCAGACAAGACAAAAGGTTTTCCTGAAAGACAGCTCAGGGAATCAAGTTGTATTAGATAGAGTTATAGTTCCCCTAAAAGCTATTGTTTCAATGATTGTGATTTCACTCAGAAAGAGCAGAAACCATACATTCAAAGCTCTGACAGCTTTGCTCAAAGGCTTCACTGTATTAAGTGAAGGGTTATACCAGCTCAAGCAAAGCTAGGTTTGTTGAAACAATTCAAACATCTATAAAACTAATCAGCCTCTAAACACTATACCAGACCTGGGCACTGTATGGCCTGCAGGCCACATCCGGCCCGATGGCTGACCCTGACTGGCCCGCATGAGGACACTGGCAAATTAAAAGTCAATGCAAATATATATATCGTCGTAATATAGATGCTTCCTATGTTAAGCGCTGGGAGATTACATATGTTGTAAATTTGCGCTATATAAGTAAAATCAAATTAAATTTATTGCTTTTCATGTAACGTTAATGTTTTTGTGAATATTCATTAAATAGTGTTGTTCTGTACTCCACATTTTCATTGTATCATTGTAATGTTTCATTTACTGTTTTTATAGAGATATATATTGAGCAGAGCTGTAAGTGTATTGGTCTGGCCCTTAACAACTTTCAAAGTTTCTCATGTGGCCCCATAGGAAACTTAATTGCCCACCCCTGCACTATACGGACCACCTTCTTCCCATCTCTACCATGCTGTAAGATCTCTCTGGGCATATTAGAATGCTTAGTAGCCATTACCTGACATGCCTCTGCTCATACATCTTTTGGGAAGCTTAAGATATAAATCTATTTAACCTATATCAAGAGTGAGAAACAAGGTGGGAGCCAAATTACCCTTCAGCTAGTCAGATGACATAAGTTGGTATGGTCGCTTGCAGTGACATCTCAATTCCTGCTCCACCCATACAGCCTATCTCAGTGCCGAAAGAAGTACAGAAGGGAATCTGTGGTGCTGAGGGGACTCGCTCCTTGAAAAACTGGCAAGTTAGGTGTCTTCTTCACATGCCTTGTCCCATCCTCACTGGTGTTTGTAGCATGAAAACAGACGGTGCTGGTGCTGGTACAAGCCACTCCTCCCACTTGCCTCTTGCTATCTCCATAGCTGGGTATAGGGAGACAGGTGCACAAAAGCACACTCAACCAGTCCTGGGAGAGGTCAGTCCTCTGAGTGCCAAGAGAGAACTTGGTTTTGTGTGCACCTGCAGTCTCACAGTTACCTCCAATCTGTGATCAGGGATCACAGGGAGGATTCCTCCAGGAACACAGCTTAGATACCCAATTCTTCCAGTGGAAGAATCCAAGGAGGCTCCACAGACTGACTGGGGAATCTCAACAAGGTGGTTTAGATCTGCAGACTGAAGCTTTTCCACCTATGACTCTTACATAAATAGTAGTGTGATTTTCCAGCAGTCTTTTAAACCTACTGAAGTCTACAAGCATGGTAAAGTAAATACGTATTTAAACTACCATAAAGGCAGCAACAATATCCTGAGACCAACCTATACAAATGAAAATGCTACTAAAAGCTAACTATGGCCTTTCCCCAAATTGTCTTCCTAAAATAAGCCTTTGCTTACTACATACTGCTTCCTGTCTATTCAGAACACTATAGGAAGCCTATTTTGCTATGATCTGAGAACAGCTAATCCAATCATGCACATATCCTTTCCTCACAGAATTATCCCAGTAATTCTGGTAAGAACTCAGTCATATCTATCCCCCCACAAGGCTAGCCAAAAGGTTCCTTAAAGCAAACCTGAGAATATAGAAAATATAGATTGAGGGCTACAACTTAGACCAGTGCTGCTGAAAAGCTTAGAAAAATGTCTTGATGTTCTAGCTGTTCTGCCTACAAGTCTAGTCCTTTAACAAGGTAAGCCTCCAAGGCAAAATGTCAATTGCAGCTTAATCTGTTGTAAAAGCTACTAGTTTCCTCCCTTGCCACTCTGTGTATGCAGAGCCTATAGAACAGAAACAGCTGCTCATGATAAACCTATGCTGTTGCCTTTTACATTACATGAGAAAGCTGTGAAACTGCCACAGTACACTAGATAGCTGTAACAAGTGTATTCATGCACTAGCCCTCTTTCCAATCTCAAATAGTAATTTGTCTGAAGTCCCTTCCAGACTACAGGTGCTACTTGCAAATACCAGGTCAATTAATAGGAAGGTGTAGATCATCAACTGCCAACCCACTTTGATGGAGATACTATTGTTTCAGTTACCAGTATTCTGATAGGTCCCATTTGGATTACTGAGGTGCACTGTATACACAGCTGTCTATAAAAACATTCCAGGAAGTTCAGTTTGACAAACTAAGATTTGACTTAGCATTGAAATAACAGCAATACAAAGGATGGTTCATTCTGTGCACCAAAGCTACTTTAAGCACTCTCTTTTCATTACTTATCTATTCACTAAACCGCCAACCCACTTTTAAAAACCCACTAAATTCAGGCTTGCAAACTGTTGTTTGCTTGGCTGCCTACAGTAAGTAAAAGTAACATCTAAGAAAGGAAGCTTTTTGTAAAATGAAAGAAAACCCATTTCCTTCCTCTCACCCTTAACCTAGGCTACCAGTATGCTCAAATGTATAGATAGATGTAATGAAGTGGAACTATTTGTGACATTATCTATGCTTTAAAAAAATTGATGGCTTGGTGTGACAGCAACCATGCAAGCCAGTATTAGAGAGTACTCTCAGAATCAAAATGTCTATAAACAGCATTAGGAGGCAGCTTGGTTTTCATAGAAATTACGCTCCTAACATGGACATGTGGCATATCCTCTTAAGATATCTAGGCCAAATGCAATTTTGGCTGCTACAAAACAAAACAACACCCTAAAATATAACAATATTCTAGTCAGTCATAAGCTTCAGACAGTCTGTTTTTTTAAAGATGCTGAAATATCAATATTGGAGCCATTTTGGACATGAGATCACTAATTATTGAATCAAGCTGCACAGAACTAGTAGCATTCTCCCTACTTCTGTCATACATCTTCCAATATGTATACCAAGGAGATCTTTAATTAATGAGCAGTTTTGGCTTTCCCAAGTCAAAAACAATGTCTGATTATTTATTAGCATTGCCAGCATGTGTGTTAAAATCACGCTAATCAGCCAGGTATGAAGACAAAAATGATAAGTGGCCCAGTTTCAAGTCAGTACAAGTAACCCTTCCTCCTATTTCTGGTTATCTTTAATTGCTCTCGCAACTGCAATGTGCCCTGCCCTTTATTTAAAACAGGTTAAATTTGGAAGCTGCATGCCAGCAATGAAAAAATAATCAGACAAGTTGAGATCCAAAAATGCCTGACAAATCAGCTACAATAGTCTGGTGTGCACGGCAAGAACAATTTCACCTTACACACTGAGAAGGCCTTCTTTGCAGAAGTACAATTGCCTGTTTGGTTGCCAACCCTGGCTACAAGTTCTACATCCTGAATCCCTGAACTACTCTTGCAGATATCAGACTAAACACAGGTAGCTGCATCTTTAGACTAGAAAGTATTCTACACAGGCAACTAGAAGCAAAGTAATTTACTGAAACAAAACTAAGTCTAAAGTTACACAACACCAATCATCAATATTAATCTTGGACAAAGGGCTTGATGTTCTGAGAGTACTCTCATTCTAAATACATGCAATTAGCTCTTCCACCAAAAGGAATACTTATCACTAAATAAAAATGCTAAGCCATTCAAAGTTAGCAGTTTTAAAGTGGGGGGGGTTATCTTTATTTAGTGATAAGTTATCATTTCCTTATTCAAACGAATTGTTCCATATAAAAACAATGAAGTGGTTACTTTCAGATTCATTAACAGCTATATCAAGAAATCACGTGCAGGAACTAAGTAAATCAGTTTATCTTGCAGTATCCACATAGTTTATAAAGTCTTCAGTTTAGGAGAGGCCACATTGTTCATTGCAATGACTTCATCAAACTACTTAAGTTCAGAGGTCATTGAATAACTTCTATAGCTACCACCTATTTATGCGTATCAGAATTGTGAGCAACCATTTCTATCTACAGTATATTGTGGAATGCACTCCCCAGAGAGGTTTGCCTGGCGCTGAGCCTATACTCTTTTCGGCGCCAGGTCAAAACCTTTTCATTTAATCGTTATTTTAAAAATTAGTATTTTAATGGTTTTAACAGTCATTTTTGATTCAATTTATTTTTATTGGTTATATATTGTTTTATTATATTGGTACTGGTTGCTTTACTGTATTCTGATTTTAATGTTGCAAGCCATCCTGAGATGTCATACATAAGGACAGCATATAAAAGTTTTAAATAAATAAATATCTGTCTTGAAGAGAGAGATCCACTGAACAGTCCAAATCACTACCAAGCTCTGTTGCTTCCAACAATAGATTAAGAGAAATAAAGTTAGAAAAATGCCAATAAAGTCTGTTCTTATGCTATACAATTACCAAGCCTATTCATGTTGAACTAACAAACTTGACAGAAAGCAAACAATTGGATTCACTGTTAGCCATAACATCTACAGCTCCAGCATCTAACTGAACTTCAGCAAACCTTTTCAAACTGCAATGTGACCAAATACCTAAATATTACTTTGAAATATTGACACTTTATGTGCACAAGATGGGCATCAAGTATTGAAAATGGCTGGTATTAATTTAACTTTCACAATGTGACTGTGTATAAACAGAGTATTAATTCCTCCTTTCAGGTACAGGTTGGCACATTGTAGCATTTCACCAGGTATGCCAGATGGACAGAGAGACCATTACACAGCAAGACATGAAGTTTCCTGTCCAAGACCATTTCCTTCACTATTGGACATATTTTTCTGTGGCTGAATTGTTTCATTATGAGAATCTTAATATTTATTCCACTGTTAAATATTCTTTAATAACTACAAGCATAGAGCAAAGGATTTCAACTAAATGAAACAAGTGCTATTCTGGAGGCATACTTAAAGAACAAAACTAAACAGAAGGGAGGGAGAGTTTCTTTAATCTCCTCCTCTCAGTACAGCAATATAGATTCATCCAAGCCACATTCTAAGTAAAAGCTTCATAAAAGGGCAGCATCTGAAAACAGGATGTGAACAGGAGGTGCTTTGCACGCACATGTCTTCCATGCAGAAGCTACAGAGACGGGAAAAGAACAGAAATAACAGCATCAGGCTTATGGGTTATAAAATATGCAATACTAAAAAGGGGAGCAAGTGTCATTGTTGTCCAAATGAGAAAAAAAACAATAATGCAGGAAATATGAGGTGTTGATTAGTATTTCCTACAGCTTCCCCTTCGAAAGAAACTCTCATATGAACAGTCTAAATCAGGATCACAAAAAGAGCAAAATGTT